ATAGTTATAATAAACATTGCAAGGCAAAGAATATTTTTTTGAAATATTTATGTTTTGAAAGAGGGGGAAGAAGGTGTTAAATTAAGAAATAAAATTAAATTTTTAATAAGTTATAATAAGAACTCAGATATTTAATACAATTTAGAAATTTTGGAAAAATTTGAACTGTCTTTAAATATTAAATTCTAAAGAATGAAAGCAAAATTATGTAGCTTCTGGACAGCTTATACTGAAAAGTATTAGCAATTTAATACGGTTAGAAAATGGCCATAAATCCCTTTTGCATCATATATATTGTAATACATTCTGCATTTTCTGTACACTCTAGTTTACACAGATATGTAATAAACATAAATGGATTACAGTTACATAACCTTAATAGGGTGAGATACAACCTAGTTAGATGAAGAAATTTCAAATGATTATACTGGATATTTTCCATTATTTAAAAATTTCGAATATTACGGAAGTATTTTAATACATTAAAAATACTTCCGTAACATTCAACAATGTTTTAATGATCCAGTAAGGACTGGATCATTAAAACATTGTTTTAGTTACCTGTTCTCTTAAATAAGAGTTCATCACTCTAATCATATAGAAAGTAATCCAGTGTGGCGTGACATCCATTTACATCTTTAGTGATATTACATTCAGGGCACTTAATTTCATTCAGGGCAAATTCACATTCAGGGCAAATAAGAGTTTATCACTCTAATCATATAGAAAGTAATCCAGTGTGGCGTGACATCCATTTACATCTTTAGTGATATTACATTCAGGGCACTTTATTATGCTGCATTTATGTCACTCTGTGGCTTTATATTAAGTCGAAATGAGTTGTTACATGAATGTCGCAGTGTGACTTGACAACAAAGTGGCAGCGTGACTTCACAGCATTGTCATAATTTGACTTCAAAGTTCCAATCTGACTTCACATCAACGTCGCAATGTGACGTCGCAAAAAGCGGACATTAAGCCATTCCTACAACTTTACTGCGACATTGAGATCGTCACAATGCGACACGTTTGCAATGTTGCAGCGACGTGCCGTGCTGTTGGGGACTGGAGACTTGACTAAACAAATGGAAAATTCAGATAAATGTTGATAATCCAGAAGCTGTGCTGTTCACTTATTAAAAAAAACTGAATTAAATATAAGTATGTTCAATGCTGTTATTTCATGAGCTCCGCAAGTCAAATACATCTGTGTTATTTTAGACCCAAGATTCACATGGTCTCCACATATTACGCATATTCGTAAAAAGTCTCGGGATGCTAAATCTAAACTTTTCCTCTTAATTGCCCAATTTATCAGAACTGTTTGATGCCCATTATCACCTATACCTGTCTCGTCTCGGGTTATGCCTGCAGAGCTCGCATAGGAAGATTACAAACCCTACAACGCATCACCTTAAGACAAATTTGTAAGTTTCGATATTTATGAGTTCATAATGAACTTCACATTGATTTTATCGCTATTCATATGGCAAAAATTGCAAAGAAATTTTACGAAAACATCAGCAAAATGAATAATCCTGCTATGGATTATAATTGTAATGACCCAGCAAATGCTAGGTGACCAGGCGCCATTTTAAGGCATATTAATTAATAGTAAAATGCAAATCTTTCTAACTTTAATGCTTTAAGTTAATTCACTCAATTATTTTCAATCACCTCCTCCCCCCGGTTATCATTTGGCTGTTGCTTCTAAAAGTATGGTTTTTGAAAAGCGTCTACCCCGAAAATGCCTGAATTGCTATGTTGTGATCACTTTTCCTCCACAGCCAATCCGGATATCACGGACTACTGGCCACGCCCATGATAGACTGAACTCCAGCTTCAAACTTCACTTCGGTCTAGCCCTAGCATGGTTTATGCTTCACGCATGCGGAATGTCAAGCTTGTTGGCGTTACTGGCTAGCGTCCGTTATACAGAATTAGCGATGTATCATGAGATTGGCATGTTGTTATTCCGTTAAATTTTGTCACGTTGCAGAAGTTAAGCCTGAATAAGAGACTTGAAGCGTTGTAGAAATCAAGCTGTTACTGATTTCTTATATTTAACGTGATTAGTATGAAAGGCAATTTTGATTGTTTGCATTTTCGATTACATTTTGGGTTACCACTAAGGTAAGATAATGTAATCAAGAATAAGAAAAGAAAGGTCCAAAGTATGTTATTTTGTTGAATGCCTGTTAAAAGATGAAATTTAATAATAAGTGTAAATATACAATAAAAAAACAAATTTATAAAATGAGGCTAAATTAATTGATTATGTTAAGCTCTCAAGAATTATTTGCCTAGGGTAAGACATGCCTTTGTGGAAAGCATAAATTTGAAAAGAAATTTTATGACAACAGTAAATTGATTTTCTTTGGCCAAGCGACGAAGGTTCCCATGCTGAAAATATGCATATTGTGTATGCATGAAGCATAAACCATGTTAGGGCTAGAGGCTACTCGGTCATTTGAGGTACGGACTTCTTTCCAGCAACACGCACTCATTCACTCGTCGACTTTTTTTCAACTTTTATGCCATATTTCGACAATAATTGCTTTCACATCCAGTTCACAGTACAATAATCGGCTAATACCTTTGCTAATCTCCTTCATTATGAACTTTTTCAACGGGAAATATTTTTCCGTATCGGCACTTTTATACTACGCTATTATAAAAAGATATGTTTACCCTCTACATATTCCACCCAGGGTGCGCCTTACACAGTCTAGGTGCCTGTTTCCGTGTAATTAATACACCAGCGAAGGAAATGCAGTAAAGGGTATTGCCCTCAGGCTCTAGGTCGAATTATTCGCAATATAGTTTGCTCTAGGTATGGCAACTTTCCAGATGCATCCAGTAGGCTCTAAGAACTGCTTTTAGAACTCCCTGCATGCGCCTCCATGAAAGATATCCCTGAAAATAATATTCTTATTTTAAACAGAATATTAGCGTCCCACATAGCACTAATTAGATTTCCTTTTAAGCATTTTCCTGGGTGTCAGGAGGATTAAACAAAACATGAAAACAGTTCCAAAAATTGTATAGTGCTAATATTATAGACATATGCAGCACAACCGTAGAAGAAATTAGCTAGAATATCGCCAATATGAGAGCCCTCTTTGTTGAATATTACAGAAAACAAGATCAATGTCGTAAACTTAATCTTTTACTGTAGTGCAAAAATGTGCCTAATATAATATAGAGCGAAAGGAAATTAGCTTAAATTAAGACAAAATTCACCCAATCCTGGTGGAATCGGAAAGTACGGTTGATTTAAATTTAGGCAAAATTCAAATTCTCAGATATTAGTTTTAGCAGATCCTACTATGAGTCTATCGATTTAAAGTTTACTCTTAGATTACACTTCGTTTTATAATAAAATGTAAGTTCACTTACTAGCACAAGCTTCAGTCTCCTTCAAAATACACAGAGAGCCGACTTTATCGGAGTTCGGAAAGATGATTGATAAAATCCGTGAGTGCATTCAATGAGCAGGTAAATTTTGAGATAATACAAAATGAGTGTTTATTGAACAAGCCTTTGCACAAGGCATAAGGGTTTAAGGGTCCTTAAATTCGTCTTTTATTTCCTTATAATCCTTTTCTTTTATAAAATCAAGGGAAAATTTCTGACAGCTTCCAGGTCATTGTTCCCAAGGTCGAGATTGCTTTAATCGGGTCTGACAGTTATTAAAAAAAAAAGAGTACCGAAACTATCATTTCCAACAATGTGCTTCATTATTAAAAGTAAAGGAACTAATGTTCTAAGTTATATGCAGAATTACAGATGATTAAAGTTTGCTGATAACTCTAAACAAAGCTAGATATGTAAGAGAAGCAAATCAGATTGGAAATTTAAACTAATAAAAACCTATACATATAAGCTCTAAATTTAGTGGTCATTGATTCTAATAGCCATATTTCCTAGACAAATTGTTTAGACCCCTTCTTAAATTGCGCGCCCCTTCTTAACCGTTCAGAAAATTATCAGAAGTATATTTGATTTGTTTACATTATTATCTGATTTTTTTTTAAATTTCAGGTTTCATTTCCTTAGTGTTCTTGCGTTGCAGAACGACATATTCGTCTGGTAATTGCTGCTAGGATTACCTCATTTGAAATTATAGTCACCTCATATGACAACAACAAAACTGACTTATAGGATCCGTTGTGCTGCAACACAAAGTATTGAAACAACTTCAACGATTCAGGAACCAGTTATGTTAATTTATCATGCATGATGTTATTTTTCAAACAATGACCGGCGACCCCAAAATGAAGAGCAGTTTGTAATTCCATTACCCGTAAGGTTTTCTTTTATATTAGCATACCTTGTCTTCCCAGTAGTGCTCAAAATTATATGATAAATTGTATACCTTATATATTACAAATTCAAATCTCCTAAATGTGCTCATGTATAAAATTATGCAAAGGTATCTTTATATTTCAAATTTATGTTAATTTTGTATACTTAATGTTACATTCCAAATCTTATTTTTTTCCCCTTTGGGAATGGGGGACCAGTTACATAACTCTGGCTGTTATGTAACTGGTCCCCCATTTTTTTATTTTCCTCCCTACCTTACATCTCTTCAGCTTTACCAAACACACTCACTACACACACCTGGGAGACACTATTTAAAATAAATGTACACAGCCTCCTCCCCTTTTAACTACACGCATGGACTAAATCGTATTTTTAGTTAATTTTTTACTTCTTTTCCTTTTAATTTTAACTTTTTTTGTCCTGCATTACTTTGGGCCATTTATTTTACTTTTATTTTGTTCCAATTTTTCTTCCTGGCCTTTTGAACTCGTATAAAGAGTGCGAAGTTCCTTTTTTCTCTCCTCTGAAGGACGAAATTGCCCGTTTTCTGTCTACCTTTCCTTCTCACCTAAGCTAGACTTTTCGCTTATCTAAGCAGAAAGACAAAGACAAGACTTGCAAAACAAGACATCTGTCTACATTATTATCTCAAAATTTAGCGGCACATAGCGCATGCTCTGCATTTTCTGCCAATCTCCTTTACTGGCAGAATATCCTTGAATCTTGCGTGCGTTTCAGTCACTTTTTTTCTGTTTGAGATTGTATATACTCTACTTAAGATCGAAAGTAGCCAAAATGTTTTCAAGCTTTTAGCTGATAATATAATTATATACTTGAACATCGGCATTAATTCACTATGGCAGAAAATACAGAGTCTAAAGATGAGGGTGTGTCTGCGAAATCAGAGCAGGTAAATTTTAAGATTATGTTATTGTGCCAGTATTATATTTTGCATAAAATCTCTTGCCTTACATGATATTATCTCCATCATATATTCAGTGTATCTGAAATTTTTCTCGGTTATTTAGTATCTAATGGTCCGAATCGATTACGAATTTTCTGTTTGTGTCCTTAAAATGTTGAATTTGTTGCAGTGCTTTATATGCTAAATTATTCACGTATCAAGTGTATGTTCTGTGCAATGCACTGATGCAATTATTATTTACGTACAAAGAAGAACGGTGACTGAAATGTTATTTGTAGGTACTAGTAGGTGTGTGTTTAAGGTGACCAGACGTTCCGATTTTTAACAGTTTGGGTATTGTCCCACGTCCCGCGCCTTTTTAAAAAAAAGTCCCGATTTGTAGGAAGAATGAACAACATGCTAAGGAATATATTAAAACAAGAACTTAATTAGAATGGGCAAAAATCATTCGATCATATTACTCAAAATTTTTCATATAGTGATATTTCTGAAAACGAGCTTTTTAATTAGACATCATTATTAAAAAAAATATATTGATAAGGAAAAGGTTAAATCTCGCACATCAGCGAAAATCACAATAGAAAACAAATGGTTAGAAATATTTCATCGTTTTGAAACAAACTGTTTCATACAGTAATGCACTAAAAACTGTGGAATACCCCAGGAACTAATACTGTGACTGAGCGCTTTTTGGTTGATCTTTACATTATGGTAACTTGGCGTTTTTTTGGCGAAAATTTGACGACTAACTCTCCTACAGCAACCCTCTATTTTTTTTCCCCGCTGCCATTTTGTCTTCACGAAGTAAAACATGTTTCTTTTCTTTTTAATTTCTGAACACTTCTTCCAACAATCTACTAGCCGAATTACACTTATGCTAGAAATTTTATCTAACAAAACTGCTTAATCATGACAAATATTCACTGCAAAATTGGGAAAAAGGTGCACAATACCATACTCCTTACGCGTTTTTCAAAATAACACATACACATAAACCATGTACACGCTGACTTATTTTTACTTAAAAAAAATCCCAGAATTGCACAAAAATGGCATTGCGCACACTCTTCACTATATCCATGTACACTGCTTTTTTCTCATAAATTAGAAAAATTTCACGAAAATACATGACAATTTTCTCAATCTTTAAACCCGGTAAAAAGAACATATATGAAATTACTTGATAACGTATACCAAATTCCTACAAACATAAAATTCACAAAATAACTATCATTTAATTAAAATATAATTAAATTCAAAAACACTACTTAAAATATAAATGAGCACATACATTAAATTAATAAAAATTACCTTACAATCCTAATTACTTTAAACTAAATCATTGCTAATAACAATTTTCCCAATAATACCAAATTCCTTTACTTCCACCTTACATTTAGAACAATGCATTAAAATAATATCCTCAAATAATTAAAAATACTAACTTACCTAATCTTCTTCAGAATCTTGATTACGTGTCCGATAAACTTTTCTTTAGTTACGGCCATGGGATCCAAAAATTCATGAACACTGTTTCACACAACACAGAATAAACCAAATACAAAATTTCCAGATTTTTTCCCGATTTCCCCCCTTTTCCGATTCAAGAACCGTAATTCGTCCATTAATATCACATGACATATCCCATGATCTCTCATTTCCCTCACACAAAATAATGCGTAATCGGAACTGAGTACTGCTCACATTATTACCAAAGTCCCAGGTATTGACCTTTATCATCACCAGGTATTGACCTATTATCCCCCATTTATTGACCTTTATCGCCTCCAAAATGTCGCCAAACTACCAGTTACCATATTGTAAAGATCAACCCGCTTTTTTTTCCTACGGTAAATAAAGTGCGGACTTCAGAAAAATCACAATTAAGTGTTGAGACTTTGAAAGTCATTTTATGTCTGCAATATAATTTAACAAATTTTTGTGAAAAATTTTCACCAATGCTAAAATCTGGTCACCTTACGTGTGTTGATTCATTACACTGTCAATAAATTTATAGTATTAAGAGCTGAGATATTCTTCACGTTCTATCATTTTCTGTTGTTTGAATTAAGTGCAATTTGTGGAATTTTCATATGGATAGAGTGACTAGATAGATATTCCAGATGGTACAGAATGTTTTAGAGTTTAATGTAATGCTCTGCTTCAGGATATGTCTTAGATTTTGTAATAAAGTTGAGAATTTTTTAGTGCTGCTTCCATTAGTCATGGAGATTTTTTGTGGGATCCAGAGTGCATTCATTAATCATGTAGATTTATGTGTTAAGGAACTCACAAAGTTCTCTAAGTAATAATATGTGAAAAATGTTTCTGGACTTTTCATGTAGCTTTTATAGTAGCTGTACTTCAAAAATTGGACAATGAAGGTAAATCATCCATAGAATTTAAAAGATCAGTTCTCGAATATATTGGAGATTGAGGAAACATAGAGAAAAGTTTCTAACTTTTTTGAAAAAATATATTGAAGGAAAGTCAGTTGATTACAAATTATTCAGTAAAATATTCTACTTAGAAAGATGTATAATAGCTTTAAAATTACAGTTTTTCAACTGTAAAACTGAAATGTAGCATAATGGACTAAGATTTTTTTCAGAACACGTTTCTTTAAAATTTGCAGCATTAATAACTGCATTCTGCATACTAGGATTAATTGTAGTTACAGAGCAAGCATTTCAATAATAAATATAGTCAATTTATATTAACAAGGTGCAGATTATCCAGACCAAGTTTAAGTTTGTTTACTGCAAAATGGTGGAAAAATTATTGTTGTAAACCATTAGAATAAAGCAAAATTTCTACGGGAAATGTACAGTCAAAAGTCTTTAATAAGTCTTAAGAATACAGTCAAAAGTCTTTAATCCAGACTCATCAGGACTTCGGTGATTCCAGATTATAGATCATCAATTTAAATCTGGTAAGATGGCATGCAGAAATTATAAAATTAAAAATATGAAACCGTAATTTATGAAATAAAGAACAATATGATCTAAAGGGTATCAAAATTTACAAAAAAAAAAAAAAAAAAAGCTTAATATTTATTTGTTTACCTTATTAAACATTTCTTTCAACGCGCACATGCGTAAAGCATACATTACGCATAGTCAAAATTAGAAAATTGTAACCAGAAAATTATTTGATGTGTATTCATGATATTTATAATGACGAGGAATTTGATTTAACTCATATCAGAGTATATCGAGATGAAATACTACATTTAGTAAAGAATTATAAGCTGAATAAAATAAAAGGTCCTTTGAGGTCCGGATTAAAGACCTTTGACTGTATATATAAAGAACAAAATGCATGAGATAACAGCAGTGATAGCAGATAATGTCATGGTTTTAAAAGACTGTTTTTATCGAGAACAGTATATAATTTAAATACAGTCAAAAGTCGTTAATTCGAACACCCATAATCCGGACCTCAAAGCTAAAAACTTTCTGTGCATGCGCCGTGTTGACACATGCGCATAGGCGTTATGCGTGCGCGTAAGACCTTTACGACTGCGCATATGCGTGTGCGCAAACGCAGAATACGTTTTCGCGTGCACGTTTAATGTACAACGGAAAATCTAAAATTATCTAATTCAGTTAATGTTGATGATTGCGTTGTTCCTTAATCTTCGAATTGGATGCGGCTTATTATTTTTTGCAGACTGTAAGAGACTACTGTAAGAGCAATTTTATAAAAGTAGTAAACTTGAACTTTCGATTATGTCAAATAGAATTTCCGATGCTGGAGCTCCTAAAGGATCTACAAAACGAAAGTATGTTTCGATGTCCGTCAAACAAAAAGTGTAATTGCTGCAAAAAATGGATAAAGACATGAAGAAGGTGACAGAGAGGTTAGTGAAAACGAAAAAATTTCGATTGACAAGTTAGTCGGTATTTTCAGCACAGCAATTACGGGACTTGAACAGCAGAACTTTGTAACTGAACAAGAAATTATGTCTTTATAGAATAAAAGAGAAAGTATTATCACATAAAACGAAGCAACTTAAACAACTTACATTGAAAGAAATGTTTAATAAAGTAAAAAAATAAATATTAAGCTTCTTTTTTTTTTTTTTTGTAAATTTTGATACTCTTTAGATCATAATTGTTCTTTATTTCATAAATTACGGTTTCATATTTTTAATTTTAAAATTTCTGCATGCCATCTTACGAGATTTAAACTGATGATCTATAATCCAGAAAAATCCATAATCCGGAATCGCCGAAGTCCCGACGAGTCCGGATTAACGACTTTTGACTGTATACAATCTATAAAATATTGTTAAATTAGTCATTAAAAAAAATTGCACAACTATTAATTTTCTATTAAAATACAAGATTAATGAAAACAAAAACAATGTTTTGTTTCCATTAATCTAATTAATTTACATCAATGCTTATTTAATTTGCATTACCAAATAAACAACTCTACTCTTATATGCGCCCTAATTTCACCAAATGTGGCGATATGTGTTGTGCGCTGGTTTCTGGCCTGATTACGTGTTCCGCAATGTTGGTTTCTATGGCAACCCTTTTTACGTGGAAACTTTGATTTGCTAGTTGGTTCGTATGGTAATTAAGTGATTTATGACATGTTGGCAAAATTTTAGTCGCGTACCTGGTACAACTATTTTTTCGGGTGGCTGGAAATTCTACAATTATTTAGGAACAAGTATTAGGTTTTGAACATTAATTTGTGAAACATAGTATCAACTTTGTGGATAGCGAGTCTGGCTGTCATATAAATAATAAATTAAGATTACGATGTCATAATAGATTACGTGGTGGCGTGTTAAAGCGACGTTGGCGCCTTATAATTGGAAATGCGTTTTGGAGTTTATTTGGTGGTTTTTATATTTTTCCATTGTCGTTCTGAAACGGAAAAAGATGCTTTTAACAAATTTGTGGTGAAATTGTTTTGGTGATGTTTGAAATTGGTATTTCTGCTGTTCGAAGAAGCATTTATTTCTGGTA